AAAACCAGTGCTTTAAAATTTTCAGCTCAGCACACCCCTGCATCAAGCGCAGAGCGTGCCCAGAAGAGGAGTTATGTCCATTTGACTTGGCTCTCCCAACATCTGCTTAGATCATGTACTTCAGCGGGGATTTTGGCATTTTTATCTAATAGGCGATTCAAAAGCCCTGAAGTGCACGATCTATACAGACATTGGGCGAGCCAGGTCAAACTGGCGCAGCTCCTCTTCCAGTAGAGCGCCATTTGTTTGGGTTTTTTCCCCACATCTGTCAGCAGCCTCAGCTAGTAACTGAACTTGAACCTAAAATATGGAATGATCATTTTAGACTAGAATGAATCTAGACTATTTTTTTTTTAAAAGAACAACAGAACACAAATATCAAAGAGCAGTTTTATTTTGCATATTTGGCACAAAGCTTACAAGAACACTTTTGTTCCCTTCTCAAATTTAGTACGACTAGCAAGAAAAAAAGGCATACTAATACATCGAGTAAGCTGTACAGTGTGAAATACAGAAGAGGCACCAGAAAAAAAAAAAAAAAAAAAAAAATCTATCAACTGAAATCAAAGTGCATGGAAAGTATTGACTGAATGCCTGTGATACTGAATTAAGGCACCACTACTTCCAAATGCTTACCAAATACTCAAAGTGTGCAACTTGTCATTTTTGGAATGTAGAAATCCTGCATTTATACTTGATGTTTGGACCTAGATACCCTAGTTCTCAGGGTGGAATGATTTTTATAAACTTTAATAGACAGAAGAAGAAAAATCCCTCAGCAGATGCGTGTCACTACCACCTGCTTAGAAAAAAGGTAATGTTGGACTTCTTACATAACCAGCTGTTTTACCATTAAAAATTCACATCTGAACATACACTAGGTCTGTTAATGTTTTAATTCCTTTCACAACTGGTTTTAATCAGCTGAAACACTGCAGCAGAAAGAAGCCTATATGAATACCTTTATTCAAGGGCTATTTTAGAATAAACGTTGATGATTTTCTGGCGCATCATATGTCAGCATTTGATAAACAGTGTTATTTATGGTCTAAGGTAATTAAACCATATATGACAACTGAAAATTACAGAAAAGCTTTAGTCATAATTAGGTCTGGCAAATTCAACAAATTTTTTGAAATGTGTAGAGAAGTCCAACTTTGGACAGTAGTGTTTTGTTTTTTTTACACAATTAGAAACAGAATAATTTCAAGATTTTGCCAAGCTAGAAAGAACTAAAGAGGACTGGCTCTTGAATACTGTACCACAAAGGCAAATAATTTGGTTTAATAGATTAAAAGTTATTAAATTTCCCTTTTTAAAGCACCTACACTATAAAGAACCATGGTATCACAAGTACCTGTAAATGCAAGTCATCATACAGCACGAGTACTGGAACAGTGTTACAAGAGCCAAGCAAAAAGGATGGAGTTTTTTTCTGATATTCTGCAAGACATTCTGTTTTGAAGTCAAGATGAAAGCCAAATTGTTTTAAGTACAACGTCTTCTTAAGGAAGAAAACAACAGCTTTGGATATGAAGAGCTTCTATTGGTCATATGCACATGTGGTCTAAGCAGGTGAAGTTTGCTGGAGTAGCACCTGCTTATCCCAAGTTGAATTTGGTCCTGTGGCTCACCTGGGTTGTTAGTCTCCTTGGCTAGTAAAATGAGATGACAATCAATCTCTGCATTAAAATACTAGTGGGAAACAGTAAGTGGAGAGCACTGTATAGAACCTTGGTACAAATACCTCTACTGTAGAGGGTATGAAAAAAATCTCAGAAGCTTGAGACAGTTTAAACAGAACTTTGGAAATGCACATATCTCCATGGACATGCAAAAAGACATTTAAAATGAACCCTAAAGCATGGATTTTATTTTTGTCCTCTTATAATGTAAACCTCAAAAACACAATTCTGTGCTATTAACAAGGAAAAAACCCCACACCCCAGAGCACTGCAAATCCTAAACAGAAAGGGCTGAAGAAAAGGGCATCTGGAAGTGATCTACATAATACCAAATGTGGTGGTTCACAAGTCTCATACAGAGAACAGTTCAGTTCATGCTTTTTTGGGTTACTTGGACTCTTCCTAAGTCTGTGCCCCAATGCAGGGTTGCAGTTTTCATTAACCCTTTTGCCCCTACAGTATTGGTGACCAGTAAAACATACCACAGAAGTGGCTGTTGGGGCCAAAAAAAAAAAAAAAGCCATTTTGGGAACATTTCCTGTTGTCCTCTATTAACACCACTACAAATCAGCATAAAGAAAACAATCCACTCAATTCAATTATTTCACAATTTATATGTAGATCATATAGCAACCTAGTATTGGTGGCATGCACTTGTGCTTCTGTTGTCTGGCACTTTGTTGAGGAGGAATTACTGTCTGGATAATCACATCTTGCTGAAGCATTCTTTTGCATTTGTCCAAACTTGAATTCCCTTTAGGAGGAGGAAGGGGAAAAACAAACAAGAAACAGTGAATTTTGTTTAAATCTAAGGAAAGGAGCCTGGAAACAAACAGAGAAATGGATCTTGTTTGCATACATCACCTCTACGACTTACTCACGCCACACTCATGGAAATCAGTGGGAAGTATACATGTAAAGGAGAAGGACTGCATGACTCAATCCATATACATTTTTAGACAGGAGAATCTCACTTAATCCCAATTTGTGCCAAGAAAAGGGGCAGCAAGTACATGGCATCTTGGAGTGCAGTATGGATTGTGTTGCAGCTCTTACCCTACCAATTTCCAGGCTTGTGGCTGCAATTCTCCCTTGCTGCAGACTTCCATCTACACCCCCTGCTGACATTTGCCTTGCCCACCAGAAGCAAAACCTACCTTTTTGCACATGCTAATTTGCATTACAGCGTAGCTTATGAGAGCCTCTTTCAAGTCCCGGTTCTTCTGCTCTTTGAATCGCTCAATGTCTGCCCAGGCAGTTTTCACAAAGTCTCTGAAATGAAAACAAGATTGTTCAGGCATCTTAACTGTCTTAATACAGCGGTGCTGATCCTACAGCTTGTGGGCTAGATGCAGTCTATGAAGCCTGTATAAACAGCCCATCACTTAACACCACGTAGCCATCTGAGGTCACTTGCAAGTCAGTATGAGACTGGCTGGAGTCACGGCTTTCATGCAACTCTGGAGTTCAGGGGTGAACAGTGCCACCAGCCATCCTCTTCTCCTCTGCTGCTGAATTCAGTGTGTGGGTGGGTGTGGCGCTGAGGGGCAGTGGGACAAACAGCAGTAGTGTCCACCCCCTGGGCTCCAGAGCTGCGTAAAAGCGGTGGCTCTGGCCAGAACCCATGATGGCAATGGGCAAGCTCAGTACTCCCTGCGCTTCCAGAACACCAGCAATGATTTCCTATGTAGTCCTTGGCCCGTTTGAGAGTTTAATGTTTGGCCCACTTAAAAAAAATAAATAAATAAAACAAAAACAAACACATACAAGCTTTAAAATATGCCACCACTGAACTTACTGGGAAACTGTCAATACCTAATAGCTCTGTCAAAGTGCTACATTTGTACAGTCTAAAATTGGACAGTGGTAGTTACTGCATGCCTCAAATGCAACCCTCATTTGTACATCTGCTTGAAGTAATACTTCAAGGAACGCATGGAGCACTCATCCATCCAATTCTTAAAAGGTTTTTTAATAACGAGATTTTCATAAGCAAGCAGGACTGCCAAGGATCTCAACAAATAAAATCTGTTGTTAGATCTCACTAAATACTACTGAGGAGCTGTTTCTCAGCATACTGCATCTTACACAAGATATTTTCAGTGAGACTCTGGGGGCTTACAGTTGGAAAATTCACCCACCACTTGTGACAGAAGGTGTGATTGCTCAAAGTGGCCAGAGTATGAACAGAGGGACATACATGGCTGAAGCAATTAATTTCAAGGTATTAAAAAAAAAAATCTTAAAAAAACAGAACAGGACAGATTTGCTTCCAGTTCCACTTACCCCAAAGTGGAAAAACTTGTATAATATATACAAGATAACTCCCAGCTTACTATTTTTGTTGGATTACATGAACTGAGCAAGTGCACCAGCTGAAAACTGCTAGGACTACAGAAGCAGATGTCTAGCACTTCTGTCAAGATGATTAAGGAAATACATTTACGGTGTCCTAATTTTTCCTGAGCGTTCTGTTGTTTTGAACTGTGTGTGAACTAGTCTCTTATCTTTTTAGCTGTTATCCTGGAGATAACACATTTGTCTTTATTCTACTGAAATGAATGTGATCCGACACAAAAAACACGTTGCTATTGAAATGTTAACTCCTATTTTATTTGCATTCCTCAAGGAACTTTTATTAGGATACTAAAAATCAGTTGTTCAAAATGTAGCCTGCCAAAAATATTTGAACTCTCTCAAAACAGAAGTTAACCATCCTTCATGAAAATATTTAAGGAATTATTAGCTCTCATGTCAGGCACTGTATTTACAGATCAAACTAAAACCATATCCGAGTTACACAGTTAAGAAGCTACTAGAACATTCAAATCCTGGTTTGCCTGCAGCCCACCTGCTAAACATATTACTAGCTAAACATAAAAGAAAAGACCCCGTAAGAGTCAGTCCCTTAAAATGGGTCTAGGTAACTGTGAAAGTCATCAAACTTTAACATAAGCCACCTTCCTCAGACCAGGAGCAAACTTTATTTCACAACTTGCAACTGACAGGAGTTTTTGTAGACAGCTCATAAACACCAAGAACATATTAAAACAATCTTATAAAACACAAACACCTTTGAAAACTTCCTTTTTTAAAAAAAAAGGAGGAAGGAAACTAAAACAAGTCCTGTTTTCTTTGAAGCCATCAGCACCTTTACCTGCCCTCCAGATTTTTAGATTTTAGTTGCTCTTCGCCTTCATGTATCTGTTCTTCTAGAACCTTTATCTTGGCCTCTCTTTGTTCAGGAGTCTCCTGACCAAATAGCTTGCTGGTCATTCCCTTTAGCGAGAAGGTTCTTACAGTCTAGGAAGCAAATGGAAAGAAAGGCTAGAGCCTGTGCCAATTAGAGTGATACTCAATAGGCCCGTGCGAGTAGGCAGCTATTCGATCTGGCTGCTTCCAATGCCAGGGATCCAATCCGGAGCTCTGGACTGGGTTCCTGCTTTGAACTGGCCGAAGCAGCTCCGAAACTTCGGAGCCACCCCAGAGAT